GCTTTTGGTGGTGTAGGTTTGATTTTTAGGAATAAAATCACGTAAAATTGGTGACGGAAATGGAGGTTCTCGCTTGCTGAATGTGATGGAAAATACGAAAATTTGGAAAGAATGTGGTGGGGTTTGTGATAGTAAAATTAGCAGGAATTCATGAGTTTTGTCAAGTGAAATTGGTGATGAAAATGGAGAAGACATCAGCAATGAAGGAAATCGGATAAGGGAGAAAGAAAAAGGAAAAAAAAAGAGAAGAAAAGAAAAAAGAAGAAAGAAAAGAGAAAGGTAAAGAAATTTGTAATACACTTTAATACAATTAACGAAAGAGCTAAATAGTTTGGGTGGATTCCATTTCGAAAAGGGCATATATGAGCCAACTGTGTGACTCTAAGGGCATATATGGACCAACTATGTGACGGTAATGGCATTTTTGAGCTAAAATATTAACGAATGACAAATGTGTTCAATTTCATATAGTACAAGGGCATATTTGGACCTTTTCCGATGAAATAATTAAAATTCTTTGAAAGAAGACTCTTTTAAAATTTAGTATTATAGTTTAAGGGAAGGAAAACTAAATAGTCAACACAGCTGAACTGAATAATGTAATTATATATCCTTTAATTATAAGCAGGAAAAGACTAGCAACTTGCGTCTGAACGCAAGTAGTCATAAGATGATAAGAGGACGCAAACCTGGAAGTCAGTGCTGTTATAAGTCCAACTGATTGCGTCAAATATTTTTTATTTTTTTATTTGACTTAAGGGATTCCGGAGTTAACTCTAGGATAATGTATGGTCTTTGTTTTTTCCCTTTCATTTTATTATACTCCCTCCGTCTCATATAATGTGTCGTATTTTTTTTTACACGCCTCTTAAGAAATATTAATTAGGAAAGAGATTGGACTATTCTACCTTTATTTATGTCATAAGATATAATCTCTTTCATTGAATATTTATTTATTCTATTTATGTGTTATTTCCATCTTCAAGAACAATTATTATTAAGGGTAAAAAAGGAAAAAAATAATTAATTGTCTTGAACTTTTAAAATGACAAATAATTTGAGACAATTATTTTTAGTAACCACGATTGATAATATGAGACGAATGGAGTATCAGTTATGTGTTAGATTTATGTTTTAAGCAGTAATTATTGCAATACATATTTAAATTTTTACATTAGGACAAGTTGACAACTTATTGATTGATTAAATAAGCAACACAACTCGTCCAGGATCTTAATTTGTCCGATCACATTAAGAACAAAACAATCTTACTCTTTCACATTCATCCCTCCTACCCAACCTTCACCCCCAACTATTTATAGTCCTAAAAGAATGATTCAGACACTATTGGTTGCTCTTTAATTAGTACTATCTTTTTGCCAGACGATCGACAAATCAAGGAGATCTGGTTCACACACACACATAGGACACAACTCTTTATATATAGTACACGACTATTCGTCTATATACGTACATGCATATTACTGTGTCTCTGTGAATTCTCTTGGAGCTTTGAACCAAAATCCGTTTCTAATAGGTACTGTATATGGTTTTACTTCCTTTTCTTTCTTCTATTTTCTTTTCTCCAAGTATTTTTTTGGAATATTTTCAAGCAGTGAAAGGAATTTGGTCTATTTGTTTTGCATTAATATTATTTGTTTCATATTTTGGGATCTGAGATTTTTCTTCTATTTTTGAATTATGAAGTTAAAAATTAAATATTACCAGGAGTCAACGTTGCTTTTCCATGAAGTCCTCCTTATTCAAAAAGATTTTTAAGTTTTCTCCATCAACGAGAAACAGATGATCTCCCTGCAATCAGCTCATTCAACAATTTTTGTTTTCATACTGAAATTTTCTTCTTTCATTTACTATATTACTATGTTGCCATTCACTCTTAATCAGGTTTTAATTAATGTACTACTTACTAATTAGTTTTTGTTATATTCGGAATATGCAGAAAGTGAAGCATGGGGATAGAAAGTGATGAAGTAATTACAGAATCAGGCGGAGGAATTAGGAGAAGAAATTGTTTATGCACAAAAGATGATTTTCTACCTGAGGAGTCATTTAAGAGCTGGAGCAATTACGCGAACGCGCTGAGGCAAACGCCGAGGAGGTTAATAGAACGGGTACTGACACGATCGGGAGATGAGGCGGAGTTAGAGTCCAAGTCGCGAAGTCAGCACGAAATGAAGAAGACACTGAATTGGTGGGACCTGATATGGTTCGGGATGGGAGCCGTGATAGGCGCAGGGATCTTCGTACTGACGGGGCTTGAAGCGAGCCAAGACGCTGGACCGGCTGTAGTACTGTCATATGCCGTTTCCGGTGTCTCCGCCTTGCTCTCCGTCTTCTGCTACACTGAATTTGCCGTTGAGATTCCGGTTGCAGGTAATCAATCATCAGTACCTTTTCATTTCCTAAGGATCGTTTAACTTATAATCTAAGGCGTAGGTAGAATTTCAATTTTATTAGTTTTGGATTTTAGAACAATAATTTTAAGAACTACTAAATCGATTTTAAATTTAATATTTGTATATATTTAATAATTTTTTTTAACACAAATACAATTGGTTCGGCCAAACCTGTATTAAGACTTTCAGCTCAGCCACCGCTTATAATACATTGATAGTGTAAGTGTACGTAGATTACGCACTATTCTTAAAATCACTTCTCAATGGTAAAGTAGACGCAAGTAAAAGAAAATTCGAAATATAGTTAATTTGTTATTTAATATACAAAGCGTTTATGAATTTACGTTTTTCTATATTAATATGATGAGAGGATATGTTTAAAAAATATTAGGCAAAGTACTCCGTTGGATTAACGGGGACTTAAATGATAGTGACAACTGTTTGAAAGCGGATTATATACGTCTATAACATGATTTGTTTTCTTCATTTTTTTGTCTGCATTTCTTTGTTTCTTCTTCTTCTTCTTCGTCGTTTGACAGGTATGGAATTATAAAAAAGAAAGAAAGTTAGGATTACGAATCTTTTGACGTTCTAAAAATAAAAATACTAATCAACAGCTAGTGTACACATGCATTTGCCTTGATTGCCCAATGATTTGCACTATATATTTAAAAACTGTCCGAAGTTTATGGAATCTTTTACTTCGAGTTGAAAAACTAGATCCTAAAAAGTAGTAATTTTTAATAAATTAAAAGTCTACATCTCTTAAATAATCCCACGGTCACTTCCAAGTGCCTGCCACCATGTTGCTGGTGTTAATTATTGTGTTGTTTGCAGCTAAGGCTTTAACTTAGGGGTATATTGTCATGAAGCTATGTTTGGGTATAAAATCTTTTAAGATATAATTGTACTGTATATGCATTTTGGCTGAAATTTCTGAAGTGTCAATTTTCTGTTTATTGCAAATTCATCAATAAAGTCCTATCCAATTTTTCTGAAGAATGACAAAACCATCTCAAATAATTAATGAATACAGCTACACCTATTACTACTTTGGTGTAAAGTCATGATCCTATGTATCTCCTTCTATCAATGGCAAATCTATGCTATCGGTTATGGTTGCTTGAGCCCCCATTGCTTTTAGAGTTAATTAAAGATTATTACTAATATAAAAAAAAAAAAAAAAAAAAAAAAAAAAAAAAAAAAAAAAAAAAAAATTTCTATAAATACATTAATTGAGCACCCAGCCTCACTAGTAATTTTTAGATTAAAAATAGTTGAGCACACATAATTTAAAAATTTTAGATCCGCCACTATCTTCTACTATTTTCAAACCTGTGATTATTTTACGTTTTGATATTATTAAATTCTTCCTTTTCAATACCCACTAAAGGACTTGATACTCTCTAACAACAACAACAACAAACCCATTAGTTTTTCACAAATGGGGTATAAGGATTACTTTATACTCCCTAATATTAGTGGGGAATGATCCAATATAATATAAATGTCGTTTGTGTTGTGTACAGCCGGATATTGGAAACGTAATGAACCCAAAGGTTGTGGTTGTCCTTTTCTGCGGTCAACGCTAGCAAACCAGGAATATTGGATCTCTCACCTGGCTTATGGCCATGTTACCAGTGTAGTAGGGCGTTGAAGAGTCAAAATTTTAGGTTTGAAATTGGAAGCACAAGCCTCCAACGTAACTACGTCACTTTTCATTTTCTTTCATTTTTTTGGGGGTCAGCTTATGTTTTAATTAGTGTCAAAATTGACGAATGCTTAGAATTCTTATTTACGGCTGCATTATTTGACTTTTAGGATCTTTCTTCTTAATTATTTTTATATTTGGGGGACTACTCAGTGGCGAAGCTAGAAAATATTTCAAAAGTGTTCAAACTTGAACAAGAAAAATAAACATTGTGGAGAGTGAAGCTTGAACCCGTGACCATGAGGCACTCTTGACCACCCTTTGCCACTGAGCTATGATTCTTCATTGTTGTAAGGGTGTTCAATATGTATTACATACATGTAAATCCAAAATTTTACCTATATACACAGTGTTAATTTTCCGACATTTTCCGACGAAGGGTGGTCAGTTGACCACCCTTGCTACACTGTAGCTTCGCCCCTGGGGCTACTAAAGGATAGTTTGTGACACAAATAAATGGGAATAAAAAATAGAACTATTGTTTTTTATTACCATGGGAAGCATGAGATTGAATTTTGGAGTAGATTTTTTGGGATAATGGTAAGTGCAACACATGATTTGTCATGTGTGAGTTAAATGTACCTCATGAGTTTAAAATCGATCATAAATAAAAATAGTTAAGTGAAAATTAATTACTAATGAATCCATTATCTGACGAGTGTCGAACCTTGCAACATATATTTTTCTATTTTCATAAAAACAAAACGAAGATAATGTTATATATGGATGTGGCCATCTGGGTTAGGATTCTTTTATCCGTTTACACATTTATATTCCTCCCAATATCACGCCCATCGATTGTCTTTTTGTCAAGTTTAAGCGAGATCAACAATGGAAATCCCTAGTTGGGAGAAGAAGAGAGAGCAAGAGCGCACATGCAAGCTCTGTATATTGATGAGCAAAATGAAAATGTTTTGAATGAATAATAGTTGTACAACCACTAACTACTTATAAGAAAAGGTAATAGTGTTAACTAACTCCTAACAATATCTAACATAATTAGCCGACTCTCTAATAACTATTTATAATTATACCCTCGAGTAAGTAACACCTTCTTCTACACTCCCCCTCAAGCTGGTAGGTGCACAGATGTTCAGCACTCCCAGCTTGCATATCAAGTATTCATGTTGTACCCTGCTCAATCCTTTTGTCAATATGTCTGTTACCTGATCCTTTGATCTAACATGCTGTGCTTTCACTAGGCCCAATTATATCTTCTCTCTAATAAAATGACAGTCTATTTCATATGTTTGGTTCTCTCGTGATATACTGGATTTGCAGCTATTTGTAAAGCTGCCTTATTATCACAAAACAGATCAACTGGTAATGCAACATCTGCTTCCAACTCCTTCAATAGAGCAGTCAACCAAACAACTTCTGAAACTACACTTGCCATGCTTCTGTACTCTGCTTCTGCTGAACTTTTAGAAACTGTGCTTTATTTCTTGGACTTCCATGATACTAAAGAATCCCCATAATTGATTAGAAATCCTGAAACTGATCTTCTTGTATTTGGACAAGAGGCCCAGTCTGTATCACAGTATATAACGAGTTTATTAGATCCTTTACTGTTGAGCAAAATTTCTAAACCAGGCGCTCTTTTGATGTATCTTGCTACTCTCATGGCTGCATCCCAATGGGATTTCTTTGGTTGTTGTAAAAACTGACTCAGTGTCTGTACAACATAAGCAATGTCTGACCTTGTCAAAGTGAGATACAACAATTTTCCCATCAGCCTTTGATACTGATTTCTGTCTGCAAGAATATGATCTTCTTTCTTCTCTATCAGTTTATCATACTCTTGTACTGTCAACTTCATATTGACTTCCAATGGTGTCCAGGATAGTTTTGCATCTCCCAGGACTAGATCAGATATAATCTCTAGTGCATATTTCCTTTGATTCACTAGAATGCCTTTGCTTGACCTGCTGAATTCCATTCCTAAGAAAAATTTCAACTCTCCCAAGTCTTTAATTTTGAAAGCTTTGTGCAATAACTCCTTTGTGTCTTGTATCATCTTCAGGTTGTTCCCAGTAACTAACATGTCATCTACATAGACAAGTATCACCACTACATTGCTTCCCTCTTTTCTGATAAACAGGGAGTGATCAAGACTATTCTGATTGAAGCCTGATTGTAGTAGTGTCTCTATGAGTTTCAAGTTCCATTGCCTGCTGGCTTATTTTAATCCATACAGGGATTTGAGAAGTCTGCATACTAGCTTGGACTCCCCCTGGCTTGAGAATCCCTGAGGTAATTCCATATACACCTCATCATGCAAATCACCCTGCAAGAAGGCATTATACACATCTAACTGATGGATATGCCAAGCTTGCATAACAGCTAAAGAAAGAACTGTTCTAACAGTGACAATTTTCACCACAGGTGAAAATGTCTCATGATAATCAAGACCTTCAGTTTGACTGTATCCTTTAGCCACTAATCTGGCCTTAAACTTTCAACCTCCCTATCATCCTTCAGTTTCACCTTGTACACCCATCTGCACCCAATTGGTGATTTTCAGGTGGTAAAGGAACTAACTCCCAAGTTTTGTTGTCTTGTAGAGCTTAGATTTCAACACTCATAGCATCAACCCATCGACTATCCTTAGAGGCTTCACGAAAAGATTTAGGTTCTGATGTAGCTGAGAGAGCACCTAAAAAGGCTTGGTATGGGCTGGACAACTGATTATAAGACACATAATGAGACATGGAATATGGCTGTTTAGTAGAAGTAGTAGTCACATAATCTGTAACCCTAAAGGCTGTTTGGTGACTCTTTGAGATCTTCTAAGAGAAGTATCCTCTTCAACTAGTAGAGATACTAAGGTCTCCTCAAAGTTATCAACAAAAGTGAAGGATAAATCATCCAGCTAGTGAGAATTAGAAGGTGGGATAACTGGTGATGACACTGAAACTGTAGGTGGAGACTCAGTTGAAATTGGTGCATCAGCTGCAAATGGAGAAGTATTCTGGGATCTAGAACTAAGTGGAGCTGTTTCTGCAGAATCAAAGAAATAAGAAGGTATACAGGTTTGATCCTGGTCTGATTGTCCTTGAAGGGAAACACTGTTTCTCTGAATGTGACATCTCTATTAATGAAGAATTGTTGCTTCTGCAAGTCATAGAGGACATATCCTTTTGTAACATTGGAATATCCCATGAAGACAACCTTCACATCCCTGGCACCAAACTTATCACTTCTTGACAGAACACTTGCATAACAAAGACAACCTAAAGTTCTAAAATGATGAACCATAAGCTTCTTACCATAAAACAGCTCATAAGGTGATTTACCCTGCAAAATAACAAAAGGTAATCTATTAATGATGTAAACAACAGCCATGATACAATGTCCCAAAAACTTCAAAGGAATATGGCCTTGGAATCTTATGGCTCTTACAATTTCAAGGATGTGTCTATGTTTTCTCTCAGCTACACCATTCTACTGAGGAGAGTAGACACAAGTCCTCTGATGGACAATGCCCAATTCCCTCAAGAGTGCAATGAAATTAGCATTAACAAACTCACCACCATTGTCTGATCTCACAGACTGTACATATGTACTGAATTAAGTATGCACCATTTTAAATAAATTTCTCAAGACTAGGAGCACATCACTCTTAAACTTCAATAAGAAAATCCAAGTTACACGTGAGAAGTCATCAACCACAGTTAAGAAAAACTTATTACCATCAAAAGTAGGAATATGATAAGGTCCCCATACATCCAAATGTAATAGTTGAAATACTGCAGTAGTTTTGCTAGTACTTGAAGAAGGAAAAGACAATCTAGTGTGTTTAGCTAAGGGGCATATCCCACACTTATTAACTACACTTTTATAATCTTTAATATCTGCTCCAAGCAATTTCCTTATAGCTCCTCCAGAAGCATGGGCCAATCTCATGTGCCACAGTGAAACATCAATGTTCTTCTCCTCTGCAGTAACAATCAATCCTCTGCTTATTGAGTCAGCATCAGAAACAAAGAGATATAACCCTCCTTTCTCTCTACCAATTCCCTTCACCCTCCCATTTGAGAGGTCCTAGAACAAACAAAAGTTAGGAAAAAAGGTAACAGAGCAGTGAAGGTCTCTAGTTACTTTTGATACTGACATCAAGTTATACTGAAAATCAGGAACAAATAATACATTCTTCATTACTGCATCTTTCGAGAGTAAACAGTCCTCAACATGAGACACTGAAGTCACCTAACCATTTGGCATTTGCACTATTTTACTGCTTAAGGAATCAGCTTTGCGAACAGAATGTAACATATCTAAATCAGATATCATATGGTTTGTTGCCCCTGTATCTATAATCCAATCCTTCTTTGCTACACTAGCCATAAAGGAATGAATAGTACCTGTCATATTAGCCATTTTCCTGAGAAGGCTCTTTGTTTAGCATTATGAGGATTTAATTGTATTGATCAGTAGTAAACACTGGTGGCCTAGGAATCTCATTCAAAGCAGCTGTGTCTCCATCATCATTTCTACCTGCATTAGGTCCAGGAACATTTGGTGCATAGTTCCCTACATTGGCATTGTAAGCAGTTGAGTTGCCCTGTCCTTTCTTTCTGAACTTGAAGTCCGCAGGATAACCTACTATATTATAACAATTCTTCTTACTATGCCCTTTCATCTTACAAAATTCACACTGAATGTTCCAATTCTTCTTAGGTTTTGGATAACTGCCTCCTTTTGTAGACAGAAAAGCTGTGGCTTCTGATCCTTCTCCTACCATAGATACATTTGAGAATGATCTCTGACTTTCTCTCTCAATTATCATAGAATATGCTTTGCTAACACTTGGAGTGGGATTAGTCATAAGGATTTGACTCCTTGCCTGCTCATAATTCTCATTAAGTCCCATCAGAAATTGCATTAGCTTTTGCCTATGCAAATGTTTATTGAAATCCTTAGATCTCCTACAGTCACAGCTTGGAGGAGTCATGCTCTCGTACTCATCCCATAACTCTTTGAGTTTGGTAAAATACACAGAAACACTGTTTGTTCCTTGATAAAGTGTTGCAATCTCCTTGTGAAGCTGATAAACCCTAGATGCATTGACTTTATCAAAACGCTCTCTCAGGTCTTCCCAGATATGATATGCATCTTTTGCATACACTATGCCTGTTAACAATTCCTTCGAAACAGAGCTCATTATCCATCCAAGCACAATTGCGTTGCACCTGTCCCACTGATGACCCAGATCCTCCTCAAAATCCTCTATTTTTAGAGTTCCGTCGATCAGCCCTAATTTGTTCTTTCCTAACAACTGGATTCGCATCGCACGGCTCCAAACAGAGTAATTTTCAGTTCCGGTCAACTGAATTGAGACTATCGGCGCTCGGGTAGTGTTTGAAGGATGAAGATACAAAATGTGATTGTGATCGAGATCTGTTTTCGCCATTGTTGAGATCGGAAAATTTTCGAGATCGGACTCTACCATTGAACAATTTGACAACAAAATCGAAGGTAATTAGCTCACAATTGTGGCTAATAGCTCTGATACCATGTCAAGTTTAAGCGAGATCAACAATTGAAATCCCTAGATTGGGAGAAGAAGAGAGAGCAAGAGCGCACATGCAAGCTCTGTATATTGATCAGCAGAATGAAAATGTTTTGAATAAATAATAGCTTTACAACCACTAACTACTTATAAGAAAAGGTAATAGTGTTAACTAACTCCTAACAATATCTAACATAATTAGCCGACTCTCTAACAGCTATTTACAATTATACCCTCGACTAAGTAACACCTTCTTCTACACTTTTTTTTATTTTCATTTTTCAAAGCATATAGTTCAAGTCCTAACTAGTTGGAGTATAATTCTTTCGCCATCCAAATTATTTTGAACTAATTGTAAAATGTTTCTCTATTGCATTTGGATCAGCAAAATCTTGTTCCACATTTAATTAGCTTTTGCATAAAACCCTTCAACATTTTATCACATGACAATCGTTCACTGCAACTTATAAGTATTTTCTCTGTTCATAGGCTATCTGTAATATGATTAAACTAAAAGAAATTAATGCTATGGTTTGTTTGACTGAAAATCTCAGAATAAGAATTGTATAACGACATGAACAATCGATGTATCCCTATTTTTTTCATTACAATATTAGGCACGCAGATTAATAATTTGTGTCTAGACGAAGTGAACCTTGACAGATAATCTCCATCGAATATCCGTGATAGTAGTACTTATACTTTGACACTTGAATTTGCAATAAGTCTAATCACTAATGCAAATTAGTATTTTTTAAATTGTGTAACTATCTCATCTAAAAGTTTAAACATTTAGTACAACAACACAACAACAACAACCCAGTATAATTCCACTAGTGGAGTCTGGGGAGGGTAGTGTGTACGCAGACCTTACCCCTAGTATGAGGTAAAGAGGCTGTTTCCAATAGACCCTCGGCATCCTTTCCCTCCAAGAACTCCCCACCTTGCTCTTGAGGTGACTCGAACTCACAACCTCTTGGTTGGAAGTGGAGGTTGCTTAAACATTTAGTGAAAACACATATTTATTTACTTAATTATGGCTTCAACAATATTGACCGAGGTTTTGTTAAGGAATATTTACTAAGTTCTGAAATTTTGATTTTATATAGGTGGTTCATTCGCCTACTTGAGGGTAGAGCTTGGTGACTTCGTAGCCTTCATTGCTGCTGGCAATATTCTCCTCGAATACGTGATTGGTGGAGCTGCAGTAGCTCGTTCATGGACCTCCTACTTTGCAACTCTATTGAACTTCAGGGCTGACAAATTTCTCATCACTGCAAACGGTTTAGCCAAGGGCTACAACCAACTTGACCCAATCGCAGTTGGTGTTTGCTTCATCATCTGCATCATTGCAATTCGCAGCACAAAGGGATCTTCTCGTCTCAACTACGTTGCATCGATCATTCACATCGTCGTGATTATTTTCATCATCATCTGTGGCCTAATCAAGTCGGATACCAAGAACTACACCCCCTTTACGCCATTTGGCACTCGTGGCATTTTCAAAGCTTCTGCAGTTTTGTTCTTTGCTTATGTTGGTTTTGATGCTGTTTCAACTATGGCAGAGGAAACTAAGGATCCGGCTCGAGATATCCCCATTGGCCTAGTTGGTTCTATGGTGATTACTACCACTATATACTGTATATTGGCTATAACGCTCTGTCTTATGCAGCCTTATCAGAACATTGATCCTAATGCTCCGTTTTCTGTCGCGTTCAAAGCTGTTGGATGGAGTTGGGCGCAATACATTGTGGCTGCAGGTAGAGGCAGAGCTACAACTGCTTTCATGTATTACTTTTTATACATATATATTAAATCTTGAACACTCTTAACAAAATTTCTGACATTGTCATTGGTTGCAGGTGCATTGAAAGGAATGACATCTGTATTGCTTGTAGGCGCGGTTGGTCAGGCGCGTTATCTCACTCACATTGCACGGACTCACATGATGCCTCCTTGGTTTTCCTATGTTGATGCAAAAACAGGAACGCCCGTTAATGCCACGGCCGTCATGATGAGTGCTACCGCGATCGTCGCCTTCTTCACGAAGCTCAAAATTCTCTCCAATCTTCTCTCGATCTCTACACTTTTCATCTTTATGCTCGTGGCGCTTGCTCTCCTCGTTCGTCGTTACTATGCAAGCGGCGTGACTACTAACGCGGACCGCAACAAGCTAATTGCGTGCCTATTGCTCATCCTCGGGTCCTCAATTGCCACGGCTGCTTATTGGGGACTTAGTGAGAATGGATGGATTGCATACTGCATTACTCTGCCTATTTGGTTTATGGCAACTGCGGGGATTTACATATTTGTTCCTCAAGCTCGTAATCCAAAGCTATGGGGCGTGCCTCTTGTGCCTTGGTTGCCATCAGCATCAATAGCAATAAACATTTTCCTTCTAGGCTCAATAGATAAAGATTCGTTCATAAGATTTGCTGGCTGGACAGGGTTTCTTTTGGTGTATTACTTCTTTTTTGGGCTACATGCTTCTTATGACACCGCAAAGGAGTTGGAAAGGAGCAAAGCAGGGTGGAAGAGTAATATTGAAGAAGGAAATGCAGTTAGCTCTAATGGGTTAAAACATGCTCCTAGTGCTCCTCCTGTTGCTTCTGGCAACTGAATTGTGTCTAAATGTTACAACGTTATGTTCCTAGTGCTCCTATTTTATTTGTCTTATTCATGCATATTATGTTAGTCCATTGTACAGACTCCGTTTCTAAAAGTAAACTACTGACGGTTGCTGTATTGTACTTAACTCTATCCTTGTATTTCTCAAGCATAGCCGCTTTGGATTAACTTAGGAAGAGTTTAACTTCTATGTACTCATAATATAAAAATATTTATCCAATCAGGTCATTTGTTAGGTATATAGGTAAATCTCCCGATAAACATTAATTGATAAATATGATTAAGATTGGTAAAAACTTATAGGTTAAAATTCACAGTATCTTTAGAAAGAACAGCAGCTCCCTGTCTCTTGACATAGATTTGATAACTGTTTTCCACAACCCCAAAACACAAATCCTCCCTTTCTTAGGTCAACCTCTAAAAAAGAAGAAGGGAAAACCAGCCCAGCCCATTTAACTACTAAAACAAATTCTTCCTCGGCCCTTTTTTGTTTGAGACCAAAACAAAAGCCCAACCCTCCAAGTGCCCTTTCCACTTTCACCAGAATTAAACCTCTGCCATAAGAAAAGATGTTATTTCAACTCCTTTTTCAGGAAAGTAACAAGAGTATAAGATCAAACCAACTAGCGGGATGATAAATTTTGAGTCAAATTATTACAAACACAAGCTATCAAGTAAATTCGGTTAATTACAAAGTAACGAATAATAATAGGCTAACCAAACACAAATTACCTATATTTGGAGAAACAGATAATAATACCACGCTAAATCACACTTTAACAAAGAATATAATAATACTAATATGTTATAATATCCATTGACAAGGTGGGTTGCTCTGATGGTAAGCACCCTCCACTTCCAACCAAGAGGTTGTGAGTTCGAGTCACCCCAAGAGCAAGGTGGAGAGTTCTTGGAGGGAAGGATGCCGAGGGTCATTTGGAAACAGCCTCTCTACCCCAGGGTAGGGGTAAGGTCTGCGTACACACTACCCTCCCCAGACCCCACTAGTGGGATTATACTGGGTTGTTGTTGTTGTTGTATGTTATAATATCCATGACATTCTTGTAGCTGATAATGATCATCTACAGATTTCTTGTTGCAATAAATCCAAATCCAAATGCTTACTCTGAATGCATACTTCAATTAAAAATACATTTCAGAAACCACAGTATGTCAATTTCAAGACCAATATTAGAGATATCAATGACACGGCAAAAGCCAGAATTTGTAGTTCCAGCAACAGTAACACCTCGTGAGAGAAAACATCTTTCTGATATAGATGATCAAGGGAGTCTTCGTTTTCAAATTCCCATATTAATGTTTTACAAATATAATCCTTCAATGGAAGGCAAAGATCCTGTAAATCTCATCAAAGAAGGATTGTCAAAGACACTAGTGTTTTACTATCCATTAGCTGGTAGGATCGTTGAATTAATGCCTGATAGGAAGCTTGTTGTGGATTGCAATGGTGAAGGAATCTTGTTTGTAGAAGCTGATGCCCAAGTGGAGCTTGACAAGTTAGGAGACTCCATTAAACCACCATGTCCATACTTGGATCAACTGCTATATAATGTGCCTGGTTCTGCTGGTATCATTGGCTGTCCTTTTTTGTTAGTTCAGGTAAACAATCTCCTTATGTTTGATTTAGATGGAATGATTTAAGTTATATATACGTCCATAATGTGAAGGTTTTTTAACTTGTGATAGCAGCAGCATGTTACTTGAATTTTTACGGAATTATCTATTATAGTAAGTAATATTTATCAATTAAGAGATTTATATGTAGTTATTTAATAAATGACATGATTGTGTAAATATTTTTTACCTTAGAATTTAAACTTATGAAAATTCTTCTTTTTTATTTCTTGAACAGCAAAAACGCCCTTACAGGCATTTATTCCCTGCGCTATAATTTCAGTGTCACATTTTGCTTTAATATATTGATGAAGCCAGATGGATAAAGTAATACTCTCTTTTCAAAAAAAACAAAATTATGTTTAAAAATCTAGTATTTACATAAGTTGCTAAATTTTAGAATTAAATGTCGCATTTATAAAAGAACTTTTTACAAAATCTTAATGACATTAATGTTAGATGACGTCGTTACTATTGGTATTGTTAATAGACAAAATAACATGAATTAATCGATATATATCCCTTAGAAAAACGAAAACGATAATACGATGAAAATAAAATGAGATCGGAAATAGAAAAATGATGACGGCCATATTATTTTCTTCTTTTCCTAATTAGCATGATGTGTGCCAAGAGTTTTTTGTT